TAGGAAGTTTCATTTTAATGGGAGATGTAACAGAACCGGCTGCCTGTGGCTGCAGGTGCTTTTTATGCTGCTGCTCGCCTGGGGTTGCTACATAGTGTTCTCTGACATCCAGTTCCAGGGTTTCTAGTTTGCGCTTCTCTCTGTACTTATCCAAAGACATTTTCTGAGGAATTATTACAGGAGCAGCAACTTGTCCATGGTGTTTGTTTGCTGACTTATGAGAATATTCTTGTTTGACAGTAGAATGCTCAGCAAGTTTGTCAGGTCTGTGGTGCACTCCGGAGTGCAACTGCACGGACGTCCCTGCTTGGAAGTTCATGTTGTACTGACTAGCAGGCAGAGTCTCCTGCTTCTGAGAGTATATTTGTTCTGTTCTTGTTTGTTCTTGGTGCTGAGGCCATTCCTGGTGTGATGCCAAACTGTATGAGGTACTTGGCATTCCTGTAGCTAATATTGCCAAATTTTCAGGTGCATGACTGTCTGGAACAGAAATACTTCCTGAGGTCAGAGGTACTGGTGCAGGAAACGATGTTGATGGTTTTTGGAAACTTGTGTTTGCAGCTACACCAGTAACTGTATCCACCAAAATGGAATTCTGGACCAAAGATGAACCAAGAAGTGAATTCTCAGATACCTGTCCATCACCTTTAGGTTTCTTAGCTGCCTGATTAGCCTAAGCAAAAAAGAAAGAAGTGAGAAAATACAGCTTAGAATACTTCTACAGTCCATCTGAATTTAGCCCAGAGATAAGAATAAAAGCTGGTGCAAGGTTTCACCACCTCCTAACCCAGACACAAGAAGAAAGAGCAAGTACAGCATAACTAAACTTTTTCCCCTGGTTCATAATTCTCCTAGAAGTTCATCTCTGCTTGCTAGACACTACAGGAAAGTTTCTTACCCGCCAATTTCTAATTCTCTTGAGCCTGCTAGGTGTTTTCTCCAGTATTTGCAGAAACTCATGAGTTAGCTCTAAATAAGAAAAAGAAAAACCATTTTTACATGTGATTCTGTTATAAACAGGTAAAACTTAGTCCAAGGTTGTACAGCTTTTGCAGTAGATACTACAGTATGTGCATGAGCTGAATTAAAATTGCAATAAATTCTTGGGCAAGTGTGGAACAGAAAAGTTTACAGTATTCCACTGGGACAGACTTCTGACAACTACACACATTCTGAAAAACAGGTTTAACCATAATATTTTGTTTTTATTCTTTCACAACTTGGATTTGTTAGACCAAAAAACTATAGAAACAACAGTTTCTAAAATAGCATACTTGCCATTCAGTCTGTACATATTCTGTATAGAGTTAAGTTTCCTTGAAAGCATAAATTTTTAAGTCACTGTTTCAGTCATTCCATCACACTTCAGGAACAACCAGTATCAGCTGTGTACAAACCACAACCATCAGACCCATGGAAGGACTGTTGTAAACAACAGCTTTGAAATAATTCGGGTTCATGGTGGAGTAGCTGGCTGTGTTAATAAAACAAAAATCCTTACAATTAGTATGCCCACAGGAACACACACATCTCCATGCTTATCAGCTGCAAATAGAAATACTTTTAATTGAGACTTAATTCTAGTCATAAGCTAAAAACAACTGGGTACAGTCAGAATTTGAATGCAAAAGTACGTCTTTTACAGGTCTGGAAGAACTGGCTTCTCCAGAATTCCACAAGCAAGTTATAACCTAAGCTGCTCCCAACTGCACAACTACCTCAGCTCTTAGGTCTGCCTGGGTCTGTTAAACACCCCAGCTCCATAAATGCTTGAAGGGTTAAGTGATGTTCACAAGGAGCCCACAGCATTCCCCTGGGGGATTTTACAAATCCAAACAATGCATGTTTACCAAAGCTGCAAACCCACAGCCAGGTGGGATGGCAGCAGGGTGCTGTTTGGAACTGCAGCTACAGCTTAAAGAAGCCCAGTAAGACAGAGATGTTTGAACCTGCACTTTGAAGCTCACTCTGGTTCTGTGCTTCACATGACATCTACTCAACTTCTCACTTCCAAACCCTCCCTCCCCAAAGTGTCATTAAGAAAGAACAGCTCACCAGAGGAAAGCAGCAGGAACAGAGTCAATGCTGGGCCATCTGAAGTCTGGAGAGCTCCAGGCAACAAATGTTTCACTCCAGGACCAACAAAGTCCAACACACAGATCTGAAAGCCCCAGGAACTCCCACCTCCTCTACAGCAGCACATCTGGCCCTTAAATTCAGACTCCACTGTAGTAAACACTATCTTAAAAGACAGTAAACTTCTAGCTGCAGGGTGTTCTAGGCATATGCTTTCTTCTTACCAGAGTCTGAGATCTCACAAGCCACACCAAACTGTTAACACAGAACTGCCTTCATAAACATGGCAATTTTATGTACAGCCTTGTGAACAGTCACTGAAACAACACTAAGGTACCTGAAACCATCAGGACTGCATGAATTTGCACTGACACATTTCCATCTCTGTCTTGGTTCTGAAAAGCATTTAAAAGCAGGATTCTAT